AACATAATTTCCGCGAGAGAGTGCTTTTTCCTGTGACCAGTTTTAAATCGTATTTAATGCATTATATTGTTCTACTTTAGTGTTAGATAAGTATTTGGAGACCATATCAGATCTTTTCCATCCTCTGTGAGGTATTTAAAGGTACGCGAGCGAGTGCTTTTTCCTTTAAACAGTTTTAAATCGTACGGTATTTAACGCACTACTGTATATTGTTCCATATTAGTGTTAAATAAGTATTTTGAATTCATATCAGCTCTTTTCCATCCTCTGTGTGGTAATTAAAGGTACGTTTAGCAGCTAAAACACGCATTTCTGCGAGAGAGTGTTTTTCCTTTAAACAGATGAAAATCGACTTTTATGAATATGTTCATCCATTATTACAGTTAGACAGGTACTTTGATACCATATCAGCTACTTCCCGTCCTCTGTGAGGTATTTAAAGGTGCGTTTAGCAGGAGAAACACTCATTTCTGCGAGAGTGTGTTTTTTTTTTTTTAAATAGCTTTAAATTGTGTTAGACGCACTAAAGTTAATCCCAAATTAAGCTTAGGTAAGTACAACTGACCAATGCCAACGTTTTCTGTAGACCGTGAGTGTATTTAAAGGTGCTGTGTGTTGTGATAACATAATTTCCGCGAGAGAGTGCTTTTTCCTTTAAACGGTTTTAAATCGTATTTAATGCACTATATTGTTCCATATTAGTGTTAGATAAGTATTTGGAATCCATATCAGCTCTTTTCCATTCTCTGTGAGGTAATTAAAGATACGTTTAGCAGCTAAAACACGCATTTCTGCGAGAGAGTGTTTTTCCTTTAAACAGATTAATATCGCCTTTTATGAAGATTTTCCTCCATTATTACAGTTAGACACGTATTTTGATACCATATCAGCTACTTCCCGTCCTCTGTGAGGTATTTAAAGGTACGTTTAGCAGGAGAAACACTTATTTCCGCGAGAGTTTTTTTTAAATAGCTTTAAAGTGTGTTAGACGCACTAAAGTTAATCCCAAATTAAGCTTAGGTAAGTACAACTGACCAGTGCCAACGTTTTCTGAAGCCCGTGAGTGTATTTAAAGGTGCTGTGTGTTGTGATAACATAATTTTCGCGAGAGAGTGCTTTTTCATTTAAACGGTTTTAAATCGTATTTAATGCACTATATTGTTCCATATTAGTGTTAGATAAGTATTCGGAATCCATATCAGCTCTTTTCCATCCTCTGTGAGGTAATTAAAAATACGTTTAGTAGCTAAAACACGCATTTCTGCGAGAGAGTGTTTTTCCTCTAAACAGATTAAAATCGCATTTTATGAATATTTCTCTCCATTATTACAGTTAGACAGGTATTTTGATACCATATCAGCTACTTCCCGTCCTCTGTGAGGTATTTAAAGGTACGTTTAGCAGGAGAAACACTCATTTCCGCGAGAGAGTGTTTTTTTTAAATTAGCTTTAAATTGTGTTAGACGCACTAAAGTTAATCCCAAATTAAGCTTAGGTAAGTACAACTGACCAATGCCAACGTTTTCTGTAGCCCGTGAGTGTATTTAAAGGTGCTGTGTGTTGTGATAACATAATTTCCGCGAGAGAGTGCTTTTTCCTTTATACGGTTTAAAATCGTATTTAATGCACTATATTGTTCCATATTAGTGTTAGATAAGTATTTTTAATCCATATCAGCTGTTTTCCATTCTCTGTGAGGTAATTAAATATACGTTTAGCAGCTAAAACACGCATTTCTGCGAGAGAGTGTTTTTCCTTTAAACAGATTGAAATCGCCTTTTATGAATATTTTCCTCCATTATTACAGTTAGACAGGTATTTTGATACCATATCAGCTACTTCCCGTCCTCTGTGAGGTATTTAAAGGTGCGTTTAGCAGGAGAAACACTCATTTCCGCGAGAGAGTGTTTTTTTTTTATGAATATGTTGCTCCATTATTACAGTTAGACAGGTATTTTGATACCATATCAGCTACTTCCCGTCCTCTGTGAGGTATTTAAAGGTACGTTTAGCAGGAGAAACACTCATTTCCGCGAGAGAGTGGTTTTTTTTAAATAACTTTAAATTGTGTTAGACGCACTAAAGTTAATCCCAAATTAAGCTGAGGTAAGTACCACGTTACCAATGCATAAGTTTTCTGTAGCCCGTGAGTGTATTTAAAGTTGCTGTGTATTGTGATAACATAATTTTCGTGAGAGTGCTTTTTCTTGTAAACAGTTTTAAATCGTATTTAATGCACTATATTGTTCCACATTAGTGTTAGGTAAGTATTTGGAGACCATCAGCTCTTTTCCATCCTTTGTGAGTTATTTAAAAGTACGTTTAGCAGCTAAAACACGCATTTCCGCAAGAGAATGTTTTCATTAAATGTTAATTAAGTACAAGGTGATTTGGAACACATGGTCCTGACAAAAAATGTTACTATCCCAAGGCTCATTGGAGGTTTATTATTTTCAAATGTTTTAAATGTATACGCCCTACAGCACAACGCCTAATCATTGTGAAAATGTCAACCTTATAGCAGTGGAATGCTTTCTTTAAAAACAGAAATCCTTACACTTCCCCGATGATAACCACTGTCATTGGAATACCAAACACAGCAACACCATTCAATGAATTTTGCAGAGCTGATACACTGTAAGTACTTATTATCAATTATTATCTTAAATATTATCTTGGCAATTCAACAAAAGGATGTAATCTGTACTTATTCTAATAAAACTAGCATAAATAATTTGTCCTTGCATTTATTGTATTCTTTTATTCATTGAACATATTTGTTCATGATTTAAGGATAGTAGGTTGATGTCACTACATGTTCTATGGTCCAGTTGCAACATTTGAAAATGCTTCATTACCCATGAGATGTGAAGTATTGAAAGCATAAAACCCTTTACCGAAGAATGAAATAATAATTACTGAGGTAAAAGTTTTGTAAACCAGAGCTTGTACGCGTGAACGTTCCTATGCATGATACATTACTTTATCATAAAATATAAGGTTGGGTGAAATATGTGTGGTGGTTTAACTTGGACAAAGCAGGGTGAATGAGTATTTATGGCCAAAAACAGTGATTTCACACTACATCGGTAATGTTACTTGGTAAGCAAAATTACAGTAATATTTGTAGCACACAACTAGGTATTTTACAATTTTGCAAAGTAAAAAAAAAAAAAAAAAAAAAAAAAAAAAAAAAAACAGCATTTTCATTTAGAATGTTATCAGGGGTGGGGAAGTTGTCAGTCACACCAGCGTTCCGCAAAATTTTTACCTCACAGCATATTGAGGATTCCGGCCCAACAACCAATATGACCGAAATGAGGTTTTCCCTGACAGATAATTATATGATAGGTCCAGATTTTAGTAATATATCTCAGTGGTTAACATGCTTGCCTTCTCATCCCAGGGTCGTGGGTTCAATTCCTGCCACAGCAGGACTTTTTCTCACGACTAAAAACAACTCCACTCCCTAAGCCTCATAAAGAGACTTGGTTTATAAAGCATCACTCTCATCCGGTAAGTGCCGAGTGTGCTTGCTGTTGAATATAGGAAAATGAAATAAAAAAATAATGCGTGGAAATTTTTAAACATTATTTACCATTCCTCACTTTTTCTTTTTGGTTTGTTAATTTTTTTTTTCTTCTTTTTATTAATGTTTTTTTCACAAAAATTGTTTTATTGTTTAGTACTGTACTAATGTAATTAGAATAAGGATTTCTCTGTAGTGTGACAAGTCCTCGTACAATAATTTGTTACTGTACAATTTTTTTATTATATTTTAATGGACATAAATAGGAACTCAAACTATGCCAGTAATTGCAAGATATTTAAAAAGAAAGACACTATGTACGAAATATTTCATCCAGAGCTGTGCACGCGTCTGGATAGTTAATCGGCAAAAACATTTTCTCCTTACTCACATTAGTATATATGATTACTAATATTTTATTATTATTATTATTATTATTATTATTATTATTACTATTATTATTACTATTATTATTACTATTATTATTATTACTATTATTATTATTACTATTATTATTATTATTATTATTATTTATATCATTATTATATATAAAGTTCACCACCAGGTTGCACCTTTGTTTTCAATCGGACGTTGGTTACCGTTAATTACGCCTGAATGACTTCATAATCTTAATGGTTTAGAATAAGGTTTTTGGAATAGGCATTTTGAAACCTAATAATTTATCATCAAAATGTACTAAAAACACAAAAGCTCGCATTAAATTAGTTATCGAACACACATTTATTTTAATCATCAACTAAAATTTACAAAGAAAATCGAGGATGCAATATCTTATCATTACATTGAAAATTGGGATGAATGGTTTGCCAGTGGAGAAAATGGTGCCAAGTTGAACTCCTTTTGTGACACTGTAGTATTC